TGTAAAAATACAATTTTCCGATAGCAAAAGAGTTCTGGTTTTTTGCTGTCCCATTTCATTACTGAGCTGAGGGAGACTCTAAGTAAATAGTTTTCACTCGGCGTGAAAAAAAGAAAATAAAATCTGTTGGTTCATATTCGACGATGATGGCTGAAATGCGATCAGACCAGATAGAAACTCTGTATGAGAAACGGAGTTCCTTAACCTTACCGGTAAGTTTACTCGTATTCCGTCGCAGGAATTTGTCGGAATGAACATGCAACTTGGTAATTCCTTCTTTCAAGTCAAGTCAAGTCAAGCCAATCCAAGTCAAGGAAAGCTCCGTGGGGACAAACCTCGAATAAGAGTTCTGTAGCAAACGGGCGAGAATTCCAAACTGCCTAGCGTCGATAACCGCATTCCAGTAAACGAGTCTGTATGGGCGAGTTCAAGATGACACAACGGAGTGAGGAAAGAAGCAACACGCAATTCGAAAGTGCAGTGACAAACACACATCAGAAGCGCTCCAAGCAAAACGGGTTTTATCAACCAGAAACCACAGTCTAAGGTAGTCGCTCGAAAACTGTTAACCAGGTACTGGGCTAAGTAAGGGGCAACTTAGTTATGACGAGTTGCAGTGCAAGCAAAGATGAGTTTTGAATTTTCACCTCGTTTTAGGAGTTGGGAAGGAAAACCATGAAAAAGACGTTGAGAATTTGTTCAGATCCTTCGAGAAAGGTTATAACAAGTAATTCTGCGACAAGTAAATTACTGGATATGCCCCTGCATTTGGGAACGTTGTTCCGGGATCGGACCGTGAGGTGATCATCACCGGTCACTGGCAGCTTCTGAGCAGTGTTCAGAAGCCAACCTTCCAGGAGCATCTCATGCATTTTGCAAATAACTTGCCCGAACCGGATAGGTTATACAGGTCATCCACTTGCCACCTTTTGCTACGAAGAACACTGAAATAGTACACTGTTATCCAAGTTTTGGGTTAAATACAGGTCATCCACTTGCCACCTTTTGCTGAAATGGTACACTGTTATCCAAGTTTTGGGTTAGCATTGCCGAAACCAATCACGTGGTGCAATGAATCGGTGGCTCGGCCTGAAGGGTCTTCCGCTTTTGTGAGAACCTGTTTGTTTGTTGTTGTGAGAACTTTGGAAATTATAATGTTTGATAGCTCAAAGAGAGGCTCGGAGCTTCGTGAAAATGATGCAGTCGAAGAAACTGCTTTCACCTATGTAGCCTTCTCTTGAGGTAGTATTTTTACGTTTTTTGACAGATTAGGGTGTCCAGCTAAAAGAGGCTGTTATTTTTAGGCTTCTCTATAGATTTTTCATTTCCCAACAAGATTCTGGTAGCTCAGTGGTTAATGAGGAAACTTCCTGACCAGAAGTTCCATGGTTCGAACCCAGATCCTGTCTAGGCTTGGGTGACCAGGCAGTAATTCAACCCCTGTGCTTGCTGAACGAAAAGTCCCAAACTCAAGAATCGCTCGTTTTTGATTATGCAGCTTACGTCCACTCACAACGAAGTACTCGGCTTCTTCTGTAAAGCTTGAACTTTGATTACAGCTAAAATTAACTTTATACAACCAGGTTAATTTAATCAGAAGTTACGGAGAAGAAGTTCCATTAAGCATCGAACGGAGCAATTCCTATCCAGCGCGGTGGTGATCAACTAAACAATGTAACCAAATCGAACCGGCCCCCTCGGAAGAAATCCGAGGTACAATCGTGTTGGGAATAGGCCAAGATATTTGTAGCTCGGGTGTATTTATTGATTATCGATCAGGTGACTGCCGTTCCATTCGCCAAACCAAATAATTGACCCAGGTATGTGCAATTCCCTCTAGAGAGACTGGGTGAAAATGTCACGGTGGTTTTTGGTTATAGAGCACGTTTTCTACTCCAGTCAAGCTTGGTGAACAGAGTAACAGTCATGTGATCAACAACCAATATAATCCCTTTATTTTTGTGACCTGTTTTCAAGCAGAACAATGGGAGATTCGATGAAGGTCAAACTATTCATTGAGCGATAGTGTCTCTACCTCGATCGATCTGGTCTACTGTAGAGGGGCTGAGTTTGGTGGCGAAGAATCAAATCAAACTAGCTGGAAATTGGCTCCGGCCAGGAAATGATTAATCCATAACGACTGCAACATTGTGGTAGGTGTCTGCCCTCAAAAGACCACCACTGGGTACTCAAATTTTCCCATCTGAACCGGCATATCACAGTATTCAACTCCCACTGGATTGAGTTGGAGATATTGCCGTTTGTCCACAAGTTGGAAATGTTCTGTTTTTGTTTGCGTGCAGTCAGGCCATCCGAAATCTATTAAACAAATTCAAGTAGATCATAAGGTTGCCGGAAACTCGGGGACTGCGCCTACCTGATGAGCCCCAAGAAGGGCGAAACCGGTCGTGGACTGTCGAAGAGTTTTCCGCAGCCTTGTGACTAGTTTCCTTTATGAAAATTCCCCAGATGTTGTTTTAAATCGGTGTGTTTGTCCAGGACATACTAAATTTATAGATTAGATCCAAACTTCCATTTATCAGTTAGGTTGATGCGCTTTTTTTAAAATCCCGTCCTGCCTGCAACGGTATGACACAAATGAGTTGAAACATCAAAATCACAAACCAGATGCCGGAACGTCGGTTAAAGAGTGGCTTATGTTCTGTTTCCCTTTCAAAAATGCCACATTGACTTTAGTCGCTAAAAGAACATGGTTAATACCACCCGGTGAACCGAAAAAATTTTCTTGCATAAGTCATGCTTCAGCTGTTCGTGAGGCGTGAACATCATAAACGGGAGATTCAACCGGATTCCAGGTGAGTCAAAACCAAATGGGTATGCAAATGAGTGTATTGCCCGTACAACTTCGCTCTGTGCAATCCAAGTGTCTCACGAAACTCACCGCCTGCATCCCTGCTTGCAGCTAGGAAGACGGAGGTTAGTAAAGGTGAGTTTTTGAGCGGTACTCATACAAACCACTGGTATATAATGATTATGATCAACAGTATCGCTAATAATCAACATAAATCCGGATGGAAACGGATAGTATGCATTACCCCACAACAACACCGAGCTGAAAGGTAAGAGAGTTTGTACAAAGCTCCGTCTCACACATCACTGAAGATAAATATTGCAAGGCGATTTGGAAACATGCTTCGATGCAATCGTAGCTTACGACAGAATAAAGTTATCTGATTTCACTGCATTGTTAGCTGGACACAAACCGCCTTAGAAACAAGGTGATGACAAGCTCAAGGCTGATGACAGCGAATATGACCAGGATAGCACCGATCAGAATTCACTTCCTGGTCAACATGTGCAGACTGATGACATTGTGATGACCAAGGGTTACCGGCGTGCCGACCGCAGAGGCAGTATCGCCACCAACGAACTAACCGCACCAGGGACCAATCGCAATCAGTGCTTGTGAGGTCCTATACGCCCCAACGACAACACATCCCAGAGGCCCTAATCACGTTTCCTAAGTAACTTGGGGAGTTTTGTCGGCAGTTGATATCATGCAAACTCCTCTACCTGTCCGCCGTGAATCGAACATTTGCCGGACTAGTCAGCAGAAACCAAATGTCCCCGTATTTCAAACATCGACTTTCAGCAATCCGGTGAGGAGTCCATAGGTAGCTCAGAACGTAGATGATGTGGTCAGGAAACTTCAAACTAACAATGGTGCTCTGCTTTTCAGCCTTCCAACCAAGGACCCGGAAGGGAGAGGTGAATTGCTTTTGCAAATGCCTCTAAAGCACAGCTACCGAAAGTATACTGGGTGAAAAACGGTTCACACGGGCAAGGGTGTCTTAAATTCTCGATGACTGGAAAGAGTACAAAAAGGACACAAGCGCCCGGAATTCGAAATCATGCGGGCTCATTCCTGAAGACACGATGCGCAATGCGGAACCGGCGGCAAAGTTGAAGCACTGCCATGATAGGCTGAAACAACCTTTGTATTGTGAGGGGCGCACAATTCGCAACTTGCAGTTTGACAGCCATCCACAATTTGCTCTCTTGCGTAAAAGTTTTCTTACGCAACATCATCAGAACACCAGAAACAAGGTTGGCAACGTTCCTCAAGTGGTTGGTGAACCGAGATTAAATAGCCTATTCTGAGAGTTGATCGTCATCTTCAGTGCTCGAAGTGTAACGTCATAGTGTCCCGACAGACATAAACTCGAACACAGGAGAAATGGTCATACTGTGTTTCCGAGATCCGTTTGGAATATGGATACGAAAGCTGGTGTATGACTATGGTGGGTCACAAGGGTTATCTGGCTTTCGAAAGAAGTATGAATCAAAATCTGTGACGGCCGTTTTCATGCAGGGTAGTTCTGATTAAGGCTGAGCTATTCGTTCAACAAGCGCCCGGAAGAACGTGGGTTCGAATCTCTTGAGAGGGGTGTGAGATACGCACTGCTGATGAGTCCAAATGAGACTGAAACAGCTGTACAGTGTTCCTCGGTTTTCCAAGCCTGGGCTGAAAAAAGTTGCCGGTTGTGTTCGATACGAATCCATATCAGCTCCGACATAAAGGTTAGCTGCTTGGTTAGTTTGATTCATCCGAAGCAGAAAGCGCTGAATTCGAGTGTTCGTCACCTGAGGACCCACTGAAACCGTGGTCCTGCCGGGAACCGAAGTCCACTGATGTGACGTGCAGGTCAAACGCCTCAGCACCGACATGCGCTGGATACACCTGGTTTATCATGTACGAACGTGCAGAGATGTGTACGCCAGGCCAGCCAGCCCGGGAGGTGAGTCACCAACCTGTAGCTCATGTCACGTACGTCATGGGCTCGTTGACGGGTCTTAAATCTTGGCCAGGTCGACGGCATGTACAATATATGAGCTCTACCAAGATCTAAAATCAATTCTATAGTGCAGTTTCTTCGCTGAACTGTTGGCGTTGGCTAACAGACTACACGCTAAAAGTGTACACCTCACTTATGTCGCCTTTATACTTCCAAGAATGTGTGCTGAAAGGCTCTTCCGTAATGTTACACATGGGTAAACAAATGAGCGAGCTGACTGTGACATCGAAGGATAAAAGCTGTGATATTTTTTATCGATCGACTGTGGTGTCATCGCACGACTCGTCGCATGTTCCTTCAAACACGGTCAGCCGATTGCTGTCCTACGGGCCTGGATACTCTGCCGAGCCGGTCGCGGGTGGAAATTGGCCAATCGGTTGTGGTCGAGAAGCTGGTAAAACTGACACAGCCTGGACCTTGTTCGATGGCTATACGGTCTGGTTGGTGAAGACCGAGAAATACAAATATGGCAAATTTTTTCATTTGAACAGTCTCCCGCAAGAACAAATTGATTGTTCTGTGACATGCGGCACCGACTATCCACAGTATGAATCGCTCCAGAAAAAGTCTACATCCCAGAAGAGGTTAAGATGTCTTTTTTCACCTGGTGGCAGCCCATCGGACGGATTAATCTGGTACGTAAAACGATGTTTGACTGAACATTCCTACCGATTGACCCCACTGGTAATCAGCAAAGGATATCCATAATTTCGACACACAACGATGACGACGCAAAATATTTGATCACTTTCGATTTGTTCAGAATTCGAAGTGACGGAAGATTTGTCATTGCGACTCCGACCATTATGAATCGTTTATCCGGTCAGCCTTGGTTAGGGTGTATAAAACGCTCAGGACCTCATAACCTATTCCTGATGCTCCAATCCAAACTGAGAAACTGACTTGGCATGGTGGTTGTTGGATTTCACATCACTCCATTTTGAACAGTCCTTCTCCAGTCCTGGTGTAATTATTCCCATAATTCCGCACCAGAGGTGCACTGGAAGCACTGGACTCCAGTTTCGCTCGTATTCGACCTCATCAACAGTGCCTATCCAATGGTCTTGTTGGGGTTTGAACTCCGCACATCCGACACACCAGGCCAGCGTGTTACCACTACTCCACCAGCACATGGTGGACTCTCTTTGTTCTATTTAAGATAATCCTTGGTTGGTTATGTGAGGTTATTAGCGTGCTAAGTGCTAAATCAATCAATCAATCAATCAATCAATCAATCAATCAATCAATCAATCAATCAATCAATCAATCAATCAATCAATCAATCAATCAATCAATCAATCAATCAATCAATCAATCAATCAATCAATCAATCAATCAATCAATCAATCAATCAATCAATCAATCAATCAATCAATCAATCAATCAATCAATCAATCAATCAATCAATCAATCAATCAATCAATCAATCAATCAATCAATCAATCAATCAATCAATCAATCAATCAATCAATCAATCAATCAATCAATCAATCAATCAATCAATCAATCAATCAATCAATCAATCAATCAATCAATCAATCAATCAATCAATCAATCAATCAATCAATCAATCAATCAATCAATCAATCAATCAATCAATCAATCAATCAATCAATCAATCAATCAATCAATCAATCAATCAATCAATCAATCAATCAATCAATCAATCAATCAATCAATCAATCAATCCTATAGGAACCTCATGTGGCTCGTCGCTTGAAGCCCCCAGTTTGGGTTGCTGGGTTACCTCTTTGTCTTTTAAGGGTAACGTACCGCTATTTCTTGCGCGTTTTGACTTCTATTTTAATATTACTTCACTGTATCTCACTGTACTTCGCCTCGTGAATATATCTGTAATAGACCCCTAACCTTTCATTGGTGAACTTACAATTATGCTAGAGTTGATTTGCTGTGGTTATCGCTGCAAAAGCAAGTCATCGCAAGCCTTGGGTGTGTCTGATGTGGGACATCAGACAATCCTGGGCTTCGGATGTTTTTCACTATCCTCACAATTTTTGACAATTAGGGTCATTGATTGGGCCTGGTGATAGCTTGCGAAATGCCATCCACCCATTCGCTTTTCAGGCGTCGGGTTTCACTGGGCACGGATAGCTGTGTACTTGCCCAAGCGCAAAGGCGATTGGTTCGGAGATTACCGAGGTAGATTAATGTGACAGGCAGGTCTGGAAGCAGATACTGGAACACACCTGACTGTCAGCAGCTGCTGTTGCGGTGGTATTCGCAACTGTCGGGACCATGTGGAAAGGGACCGGCTAAAAAAACTACCAACTAAGTTGTGTCATCGTGCAACTTTGTGTGCAATACATACGCTGTTCGTTCTGGCATCCACCGCCAGGATCACCACCACCTAAAACAATCAATCAATCAATCAATCAATCAATCAATCAATCAATCAATCAATCAATCAATCAATCAATCAATCAATCAATCAATCAATCAATCAATCAATCAATCAATCAATCAATCAATCAATCAATCAATCAATCAATCAATCAATCAATCAATCAATCAATCAATCAATCAATCAATCAATCAATCAATCAATCAATCAATCAATCAATCAATCAATCAATCAATCAATCAATCAATCAATCAATCAATCAATCAATCAATCAATCAATCAATCAATCAATCAATCAATCAATCAATCAATCAATCAATCAATCAATCAATCAATCAATCAATCAATCAATCAATCAATCAATCAATCAATCAATCAATCAATCAATCAATCAATCAATCAATCAATCAATCAATCAATCAATCAATCAATCAATCAATCAATCAATCAATCAATCAATCAATCAATCAATCAATCAATCAATCAATCAATCAATCAATCAATCAATCCTATAGGAACCTCATGTGGCTCGTCGCTTGAAGCCCCCAGTTTGGGTTGCTGGGTTACCTCTTTGTCTTTTAAGGGTAACGTACCGCTATTTCTTGCGCGTTTTGACTTCTATTTTAATATTACTTCACTGTATCTCACTGTACTTCGCCTCGTGAATATATCTGTAATAGACCCCTAACCTTTCATTGGTGAACTTACAATTATGCTAGAGTTGATTTGCTGTGGTTATCGCTGCAAAAGCAAGTCATCGCAAGCCTTGGGTGTGTCTGATGTGGGACATCAGACAATCCTGGGCTTCGGATGTTTTTCACTATCCTCACAATTTTTGACAATTAGGGTCATTGATTGGGCCTGGTGATAGCTTGCGAAATGCCATCCACCCATTCGCTTTTCAGGCGTCGGGTTTCACTGGGCACGGATAGCTGTGTACTTGCCCAAGCGCAAAGGCGATTGGTTCGGAGATTACCGAGGTAGATTAATGTGACAGGCAGGTCTGGAAGCAGATACTGGAACACACCTGACTGTCAGCAGCTGCTGTTGCGGTGGTATTCGCAACTGTCGGGACCATGTGGAAAGGGACCGGCTAAAAAAACTACCAACTAAGTTGTGTCATCGTGCAACTTTGTGTGCAATACATACGCTGTTCGTTCTGGCATCCACCGCCAGGATCACCACCACCTAAAACGACGATTCATTTACCAATCTTCAGACGATGTAACTGCATAGGATATCAATGAGCGTTGATCATGTCCACAAGCACATCAACTGTGAGTTTAGCGTTACAGCGATCGAATTCACACTCATCACGTATGTTGAGTACAGCTCAGGCTTAGCCATCGATTGGGTCAATGAAATAGCCTTTGTGTTGTCTCGCAACTTCTCGGAATATTTTTCAAGTTCAACGTAATTTAAATGAAATTCGATCACAAATTCAGAGAATGGTGCAAGTTGAACATTTGGTCATCCTAATTCGAATGGGAGAAATAAGTTTGATAGCGTTTCGCGCGTTGTAGTAAGTCACTGGATCGGTCCCGCAAGGCATCCGTCTAATTTGTTCCTTCATACCATGTCAGGTAGAACTGAATAACTGATGACAGTCGAGTGTTACTGTTATTTTTTCACGATACCCACAGTGTTTATCAATCAGAAAGGGACTTGGGTTTGAAGTTGTTAGACCTGAAGATCATTAGTTAGCCCTAAAAAGCAATCCAGTAATCGATTCGTCCTGAATGGGGGCTGAGCAGGTGGATGCAACGGGCAGATAAAGGTAAGGCCACGGTCGTCATGAACAAGAGTGACTATCTTCAGAAAGTTAGACAACACATAGCTGATGGGCCTTACTGACAAATTAGTAACGGAAGGATTACGTCAATTATGAATAAGAGTAAAGTTGAAGTTGGGAGGTATCTAAGATCTATGATAAACCATCTGGGCAAGGCAAGTGGTATCGATTGTACCCAAAAAGTGCAATCCAACCGCGACTGTACGGGTTACCGAAAATTCACAAGGAAAGTGACCCCATAAGACCAATAGTGGATGGCATAGGTTCACCACCACATGAGCTGGCCAGATATCTAGCAGGTATCCTTAAACCACTTGCCGGCAAGTCACCCACACACGTCCAAGATTCGTACGACTTTGCTAAAAAAAAGTAGCTGGGTTTCAGATAGAGCCAGACGAAGTCCTGACTAGGTTTGACGTCAATTCGATGTATACCAACGTCCCTAAAGCGGACGCTGTGGAAGTAGCGAGAAGACTTTTACTGGCAGACACAACGCTGCAAGAACGAACGCAACTCTCCGTAGACGAGATAGTTGAAGGCATAAAGGTATACCTAAACCTCAGTCAATTTGTTTTTGACTCAATTATATACT